AAGATGGGAAATAGTGCGATGAAGGCGAAACTGCGTGAGTCGGTGTTTCTAAAGTGAAAAAAACCGAAAAATCGTTGAAAAGGCGGCTGTACAAGCGTGAGAGCAGAAAAATAAAGAAGAATAGGGGGTTTGGACGAGCTATACAATGTGTTTCAGTGCGTACGTGTGAGTCCTGGTGCGAATAACTGAATATGGTAGTTAAAAATTCACTCACTCATAAACAGAGTTCACGAAAAACCTTAGTAATAGCAAAAATAACCCACCGTTTTCAGCCTTTTGGGGTAGAATATCGAATTAGGGATCGCAAAAGCAAGAAGAATAGCAGAGAACAGAAGAGTAGGGGTAAATCATCGCCTATTACTTGGCGATCAGCTGATTGTGTGTAGGTCCTAGAGCGAGAATTTGCAATCTGTATCGTCTCGACACTCATCTGACGTAACGTGAGGGGTGGGAAAGCCCCGCGAGCCAGCAACAGGGAACTGTGCCTTTAATTGTTAAAGGGATCGGATATTTGCAGAACCGTCGAAATGGCCATTCCACAGGATGTCAACGAATACTATTTCGGACGAATAATTGCAGTCCGGATTCAACCCTTGGTTCTCCCAACACAGAACCACAACTCACAGGAACAAAAACATCCAAGTGTGGTGTCGTTACAACCACTCACTTTCATCACTGTGTGTGGCACCATCCAGCTTGCCCCAATTTAATGCTGCTAATCTCTCTATGTAATCCTCTGTTGAGAGGTAGGTCTGTAGAAATTCTCATTATATAATGACCTGGAGCCATGGAAAGAAACCCCGAGAAATACTTAGAAAGAAATAACTGAAAAATATTTACACATTAATTCTGACAAGTGGTAAAAGACATTTTGTTCGATATACGTGTCTGTGGAGGGAATTTTTTGTAAATTGCAGAATCTTCTGCTCACGAATGCTCCTATGATTATAGGTTTCTTTTCTCAGGAGTGGATACATCCTCTAGAACCTTATTCTGATTTTTACTCAAATATCAAATTGACAATCTGCAATTTTCGGTTGTATATGAACGAAGAAGAACCGAATGACTAAAAGTGAAGTCGATAATATTACGAAAATCTTAGCAACGTGATAGGATAAGTTGGAGTCAGAATTAAGTAGTTCTTAATAAACTCACATTTTTGATTTGCCATCTCTCCCTCTGTAGGTTATGCTATATAGACCTCTATCCGTTTCCGTGATTACTTTGCCCGTGTATTTCAGCTGAAAAAATATATCCACAGAATCCCGATTCAGCCACTTTCAAGAACCCAAAAATATCTCATATCTCTGTGTTTGACCAATTTCATTATTCCTCTTTCCATGGATCTGGTACGCTCATATTTGAAAGGGACGTAGATGGTCATGTTAGGAAAGCCGTTTCGCAGGAATGGACCACGCCTATGGAGACGAGGTGTGTACGAAGTGAGCGTTACCCAAATCAGCTTCAACTAGGTCGAATTTATAAGGGAATGAGTCAAGCTACCGCTAGACTCCTCTCGCAGCAGGCGGGGCGTGCACGGAATCTGTCGCGTTGTGTGGTTGTGTCTAACCGAGAACTCGTTGTCATCAATTCAAATGTTGGAGCCAATGAATGTTGAAAACAAAACCATTTACGGAGAGTCGTAGTAAGACACCAAAGTGAGCGATGCTAGATAAAAGCTACCCTTCTGTTATTCTGTTTTTTTTTTCGGGCGGAAACGTGAGAGAGGAATGACAGGCGTTAGAAAGAGATTTCAAGTTCCCCACAAAAGAAGGAAAGCCAGCCATGAGCCGCACAATTCGATTAGTTAGCTACATCCAATAATGCCCTTAGATGTGGCTGAGCATCCCCACGTTCTGCTTTCTAATACGGCCTCTCAGCACCTAGGCCACCAGAATGTGAAATGAAAGACTTACAAATGAGTGAGTGTTCAAATTTACATAATAGATTGATGAGCGACACTCAATTTTCAGGAGCACGCATTAAAGGCACAGATCACGATAATTTTCATGTCGCTTCTTTGGGTCGAAAGGCGGAAGTATCGGTTCGGAGTAGTGCATCGGTGGTGATATTAGCAAAAAAATCCGCCGATATTGCCAAAGTTAAGGCTCCTAACAAAAATAGTAGAGGTTGTACGAGAAACACGACAGAAGTGACATGGAAGGGACATTTGGACAAGACTGAAGTTGCTGCCATTGCGCAAAGAGGCAAAGAGCTGACTCGTCGAGAGCAACTTTCCAGAATTGCCTTTCACTGTCGCTATGGGCCGTGACAAGTTCTTTAAACTTACTTCATGGGTTTTCTAGAGGGTGTCTAATCAGTGTTGTTGAAACTGGCTCGCGCATACAAACGGGACAATCATTAATCCTTTACAACGACATATCTAGGCTAACTTCCAACATGATAGCGCCACATAGTGTGCAGGAGTTCGCCACAGATTCATTATCGGGATATCTCATAAGCCACTTCTATCGTTGAACTGTGCCGAACTACCTGAACGGTGATAGGTGACCAAGCATGGTTTCATGAAACTTGCTCGTTCTGAGTGAACTTGCCATGGAGGTGTTAACGATCTCCCCGAACCCCAACCAGGTACCAAGTGCTTATAAGAATAAGTCCAGCTTAAACCGGATCTCTGGCATCTATGACTCATTTCGCAGCACCAGAGATGAATTCAAGAAAGAGGATCCAACAAAATAAGTTTTAGATCTTCGTTCTTACCTTGATTTTGAGTTCCTGATTCGCAGAAATCACTTCCCACAAGTAAAATATGCCAATATCGCTAATAAATGTCGTATTAATATTAGGTACACTTCTTCCGTCCTGAAAAGCCAGTCTTTTCGAGCATGCCTCGTCACTAGCCATTTACCAACCAGCAAAATTTCCGTTTTTTCCTCGTCCAAAGAGAGACGGTCCATATGAAGAACAACATAATATACACTTGCAAGCACTTTTGCAGTTATCTCCACATCACCTTCGAAGGTCAGTATCTTGTTTTCAGGGACATTGGCATACGCTGGCAAATAAACCTTCAGTTTCAGATCATATTTCACTAAAATGTGAGAATCATTGAAAGATGCAACCATTGAAAGCTCCTGGAAAGTCTAATGACTGACCCTATTCTATTATGTACATACAATGCGCTAACGTCGACGTGATTGTGTCTGTGTAGGTGTGTGTGTAAGTGTGTGGGTGTCTGACCGACCAGAAATTCGTAACTCCTGCTTTCATGGACCGAGAGCGTTAAATTTGGTAGGAACACAAAATGCAGGAAGATAACACTTATAGTAGGTGGCAAGATCGGATTCCTCCTAGAGGGGGCAGGGTTCGAGCAAAGTAAGTGATGCAAGAAATTCGCAACTCCTGCAACCCCCGTAAATCTGAAGCCTCCAAAGTTGGTAGAGGTCCAGGCGGCAGCATGAGAACACCGACGGGTTGTAGCAGGGCTTGATTCCGCCTACGTGAGATGGGGTTTGCGCGGAAATTTGTGCACGAGGGAAAACCGATCAATCCTATTTTCTAGGGCCTAGAAATCTCAAATTTGGAGTACAGGTGGAGGGACGGGAATAACAATGGTTGGTGGCAGGACTTGACTCCGCCCGTCGTGGGTGGGGCGTGCGTATAAATTGGCAGTTTGATCGTAAGGCATTCAAATTTGCAAGAAATGGAGGCGGCAGCGTAGGAATGCTGATGGGAGATGGAATGACAAACTCCGCCCACAGAAGGAGGAATGTAGTTCGAATCTGAGCGTTTAAATTTGGAACAAATGCAGGCGGTAGATTTATGACACCGACAGTAGGCAGCAGAAAGCGATTGAATTGAATCCATCCCACGCAGGCGGCGTAGGGCGGATGTGAGGGTAGACCATTCGTGAAATGAGTGCAGTTTGAGTGAAAACACGTGGTCACAGGGCTTCGCTTTCGCGGGCAGAGCGCAAACGCAGTACGTCGGTGTGTGTGTGTGTTCCGCTGGAAATCAATAGCTCCTATTTTCTTGGACCAGAGTTTCAGAACTTGGAGGAGTGCAGGCGGCGAGCCACCTTCAGCACAGGAAGGAGCAGAGCCCGGCGTCAACCGGGCCATTCGACTGGTGGAATTGATTCAGTTCTCTTGAAATTTAATTATATAATGATGGTCGTGCAGCTAGGCGATAAACAAACTGAACAGAACCTAAATTTGATTTGCGCACCGTCAACCACAGATGATTGTTTATTATCAATTTCTAATTTCAAAACTTTCATGTTCCCTTCTGCACATGGATAATTGTGGGATTAAAAGGCAAAACATTCTTGTTGGGTGGGGGACGTTACGTGCTTCCGTGGACGTGCGCGGCAAATTGCGCGGCGAAATGACGATTTGTACGACTCTGACGCCAATTTTCGGGGCACAAATTCAAAGTAAAGCAGAGGGGTCAGATGATCCTTCTAATCTACTCTACTTCAAATTTGGACCCCAATGAAAGGTGCTGAACTCGTTCAAGTCGCCACGAACTTCGCCGCGCAATTTGCCGCGCGCTTCCTCGGACGCACGTTCGTCCACATACACTTGTTGAGTTGTCCCAGCCTTCTGACGGAAATTACATATTACGGCTCGGTTACAGGGCATGGTAGCTCGAAACTCTCTTAAAGGTTTGGATAGCTTATAACACTCCACTATAATTAACGTACATGCGTGATCACTAGACGAATTTGACTGAACTTATGCAGGACCTAAAACAGCCCATCAGTGATATGATGTAATACCTAATTTCAATGGTTTGCTGATGGAAATAGAGATGCTATGCTTTTTCGAGAGCTCTCAAATGTTCTCGGTGATTCTACACGCACGTTGAAAAAACCCTATGAATGCTTTTGAAGGAAAAAGACATCTCTATTTCGAAGAGAATATTCAAAAAGAATGAGTGGCAGAAGTTTCAACATTCACTACAACTCTGTCTGACTGATCAGAACAGATCCAATTCTATCGCCTTTGACACGCTAAGAGGTATCCCTTCCACCTTGCGAAAATGGATCGTGCAGAACGTCAAAAATTAGAACAAACACCTGCACATCATTGCAGCTAAGCAAACGATATTGAGTGGAAACGCACCCGGTCGGACATCTTTAGGAAGCCTTTTGTTGGAATAGTTGAAAGGTTCGAAGTCGAGGATATCTGTGACAGAAGAGCTGAAAGTTTGGTTTACAAATTTTTCCCATTCGTAAAAAAGTTTTTCACCCAATTTCACCTCAACACAATGTATAGATCCATACGAATCTTTATATATAGCAGCACAAGAAGGTACCGGAGCGTGGGTTCATCCTACAGTTTATGTTTCTATCCTACAGAGGTTATTTTAACTAGAACCGACTCTTCCAGAGTATTTTGAGTGGAAAGTCCGCTAATAATACTAACACACGAAATAATCGAGACATCCAGCGAAAATTGACCAGATCATCACTACAACATGGTGACTCTGAAGGTAAGCTGAAGTGTTCCTTCAGCCTATCAATCATAACAGCGATCAACGCATCGGCAATAACAGTGAGACTTCTGGGTCGCAGTCGACAAACTGTCAATTCTGGAGAACGATTCTGGATTTTGACCAGATTTTGTCTTCATTTTTAGATCGTTGCCTATATACACACTGTGTATTGCACATTGTGACTACCATGTGCACACTTCAATCGCTGATTGTCGCCGCTGTAACAATTTGATACTCATCGAAAACTGCACCTAAATATATGTAGATATGCTGACCGGATGTTCCGAAATGCAGTCGTATCTAAGCGGTGGGACCGATCGTTTCACCAGCACTCCTCACTAGAAGAGTGAGACTTGCTGGTCTCCTTTCATCCTACAGAGGATGCACAGAATTTTCGCTGGTCGTGATAATGTGAAATGAGTCACCTACTTGAATGCTCAAGCAGCGCTCAGTATAGGCGAAATGTAGGAATGAAAATTTACCTTCATCCCGGTAGCTGTTTCTGCGTGGTGAATGCCAGTATCGCACAGAACACCGAGAGACTAACGCAGGCACACTAGATTTATAGCTCGAGCAATTTGGATCGAGCTTGCTCTTTGACGGTTTTCACTTTGGCCCTCTTTTATAATATTGTAGCGTCTTAGGCTAAATTGCACAGCTTTGCCCAGTTTGGAGTCATTCAGCTGCGATTACACTCCCGTTTTCCTACTACTACGACTGCGCTCTAGCCAGCCACGCTCTCATGCTTGTCAAGAAGAAAATAATTTTATATCGAGTATGGAGTTTTGAAGGCTTCCCCAGCTTCCGATCCTGGGTTACTCGGAGATATGTTTCGACGAAGTTCATGAATGTTGGCGAGGAGGGGCGGACAACGATGGAGCGTGCCTCTAAACTACGCTGTTACAAAAAAATTCATAATACATTTTGAAAGCTGACTGCATGGCTAAAATTTTACAAATATTTTCGTCACAATTTTTACATAGAAGTGCCCGAATTCGAGAACGCTGTGAGTATAAATGAGGTATGTTTGTTGGAGCTACACTGCGACTACAAAAAAATTCTCACCTCCGTTTCGTCTTTGTTTCTCCAAACCATCCAAGAGGTATTCCGCAAGCAACCACAGCGACAATAATAAGAATAACGACACCAGCAACAGCCATTATACCCATGGGGATTATGGGTTTATGTTCTGCATCCTTTGCTTCTTCTTTATCCGCACTATCCTTCTGCCGAAATGATAATTATAGCGAATACATTTTACGAATCGACAAAAGCATAAGAGAGGAGAGAACAGAGTTGTAAAAGGTCTTTTCTGCAAGAGATAACGGTGTAAGCTGTACTTGATGACTACCACAATTACCACTCCAAAAGGCACAGTTCACGATAATTTGGGCATTCCAGTTTATGACGAAACATGGAAGATAAGATGGAAATCAGTGCGATGAAGGCGAAGAATGTGTGAATCGGTATTTCCAAAGTGAAGGAGGCTTCAAAAAATCGGGGGCGCGACGAGAACGAGACCAAAATAAAAAAATGGTTTGTTTGAACGAGCTATTGCATAAGTGTGGATCCTGGTGCAACTAACTGACTACGGTAGGCAAAAAATTCATTTACTTAAAAGCATCAGTAAACAAAAATACCCTAATAACAGCAAAAGTAGCTCACGTCTTCTAGCCTCTAGGAGTAGGAAATTAAATAAGGGGTCGCGGCAGCAAAAAGAATAACAGAGGAAAAAATGCAAGAAAAACATTGCCTCATCATTCGGCGATCAGCTGATTGTCTGGGGATCCTAGATAGTTGCAATCTATATTGCCTCGATATTCGTCTGAAGTGACATCGATCGAAGGGCAGGAAAGCGGGGCTTTCCCGCCTCTCGAATTACCGTGAACTGTCCCTTCAACCGTATGATGTTATTGAAATATTTCTGTTGTATCAGAAACGGAAAATTTTCCATGAACGTCGGGATATTCCATTGTTTTCTTGAATATTCTTGAAAACTCCATAGAAGCATCAAAACTGGGAACGCTGAATACTCCACAATACTACACTACCTGCTTGCCTGCGCGAAGCATGTCCCGTTCCCTCCTCAATGGTTGCTGAACACTTTGGTGGACGAACTACCTCGGCATACTCTACATGTACCCCTTCACGAGTTCCAATCTGGCTACTTCGCTTCTAAGGCCTATGGGAACCTAGGTGCAGTACGCGGTCTGGAACAGTCTTCAAAACTGTCTACACCGTCCAGCAATAACGCTTCGAAGCCGATTGCATCTATCAAATTGCTTACTTTAGCTTTTTATGAGTGTTATCATACACGTGAAAACAGTTGCGACCGCTTGTTCTGGGTACCTCCGCCGTTGTTTGAACTGACACGGAGCTATATGAAGGAGGACTGTTGTGAAAAGGGCAATGTTAAAAATTTTCCACATACGCAAATGCAGAAGTGAAATCAGAATTCCGAGTTCAGGTAAAAAGGAAGATCAGAGAAGCCATTCCTCACGACAAGGAACCGGAGGCGAGGTGGTGCGGGCACGACATGCCATTTTAATATGATCGTTGAAGCAGGACGATTGCTCATTTGATCAACCAAGACATCAGAAGAAGACCCAGACGTCGCAATGCGAAATCTTTTCACGGGAGCTCTGAATGCAGTACATGATGTGGCTTGTGCTCTTCAGGCGACGAGGATCCATTGGCTCATGACAAGATCAAATAAAGACGTTCTGGCGCTCGCTCGAGCAAAAAATGGAACAGACGGACGACCATGTCATCGCTAGATGCAAAAACGGCTGAGATATAATATTTTAGGAAGACATTCATACGATAACACTGATTCATTGCCCAGAATGCACAAGTACGGGTTCGACTCCCGTCCGAGGCCGAAGTTTCGCCCACAGATCGCTATCCTGGTGATACTTTCGGAGCTATAACAGCAGTTTATAAGACATCATCAGTTCGAAACACTGGTTTAGAACTGACAGGAGACAATCATACCACAGCACGTTATCTGAATGGTTTCCTGCCAATAAACGGAGGGTCGTAGAAAGGGCTCATGGAAGGAGCGTAATGTATCTCAAAAACGAAGAAGAAGAGGGTTTTCTACCTAACACAGCCTGCAACTAATCAGTCTTCAGCAACGAAAAGGAGAACGGAGGTACTCAGAAAGTAACCTACAGCAGTGTATTACTAAACGGATTTAGACCACGTGCTTGTCGACAGTTTTTTCAAAACTGTAGAGGACAGCAAGGTTCTGCTTGGTTGGCTCCACAACAAGGCCTACCCTCGTGGGCTTAGCCATTGAGCTTACTTAAGTGCAGGGAAGAAGGAGTGAACAGAGAGTTCGGTCGAAGAAGATGCACTCGGCGAAAATGAGCAACCTAACGAGAAAGACACCATAATTCAATAAACCACACCTTCGAGGAATGGTCCAGCGACTGTGGAGCAAAGCAAAGGAGGTCATCGTACAGTGTGCAAAAGGAACTGGGTGAGTTGCGAAATCATTTAGACGAAAACAGGCAGTTGGTTCTAAGCGGAGAAGTCCTTGGTGCAGTAGAGCAAAAGAAAGAATCTACAACCCCCTATAGACCTAGCTGTCCACAGAAGTTGAAAAAAGTTTCTAGGTCCCAAATAGGGACAAAGGGTTTATTTAACCACACTATGTACAGAGGATGAGGTGCGTCGACAATAGGCAAAGAGGGGGTTGGAGAAGCGACTTGTCCAGATTCACGGAGGACACTCGGAGAAGATGGACCCATCGATTCCTGTACGCCGTGACCATTTAAGGAAGCATCTCAAGTGCTTATGGAAACATTACCATCGTACTCATCCTCGTGAAAAAGGGAACTCTTGCAATCACGCGATATCGACTTGCCTCCGTATAAGACGAAACTGTGCCATCGGTTAGTTGACTAAAAAATGCGGAAGCATATCCCAATTTCGCAGGACCTTCGAATTCCCACGTGGAAGGTTTGCGAAAGATGCCATCTCATAGTTGACAGGTGATGAGGAAGGAGGCTGAGATGAGTCTTAGAAAACGCTCATCACTGACGATCACTGAAAATCACAAATTCTCATCTGATGGCGTCGTTACGATAGCTGAAAGTAGGGAAGTACTCGAAAGCAGCCTTTACAGAAATATTAGGTTGAGTCATAAGTCCTCGGACAAAATGATAGCGATGACTTCTAGAGATCATAACTCGGAAAAGAGGAGACGAAAATGGACGCGCGTGGCATTGTTAGATAGAATATGAAAAGTTTTTCAGAACACATGCTAACAAACACACCTAACTGTTTGCTTCCCTGCAACCATGCCCCATGATTTCAAGTCGACGCAACTTCACCTCCGCAACACCATCCTATTTCTTTTTTAACTGGTCAAGAACCCGCGGAGATCGATAGACGTATTAAGGAACTTTACAAGAAGGGTGCACCTGCTAGACGCACAATTCACAAGTGGCACACAAAGTTCACGTCGGACGAATATTTCATGGAAAATGAAGACCGTCCGGGACGCTCAATGGAGTTGGATTTGGAGGTGCTGCGGAGCCAGGTGGAAGCCGATCCATGTCAAACTACTCGTGAACTGGCAGTCACTCTTGGGGAGTAAGTCCACAACTACTCGTGGATTGAAGTCGAACGGCAAGGTGCGAAAGCTCGGTCGATGGGTGCCTCATGCTTTGAAGCAGTATGATATGGATTTTCGCGCCGACATGGCACTTTCTCTCCCCACGCTCAAGTGCAGGAGATGGTCAGGTGTACTTTTAAGTATAAATTTGGAAGAACTTTTAATACTCTATCTAGCGATGCCTCGCTCGACCATTTTTGTCACCTCTTTCCCGAGTTGTGACCTCTAGAAGGCATCACTATCACATTGTCCGAGGACTTATGACTCAACCTAATAGCAAAACGTTTTGAACGATACTGGGCTCTACGTAAAGAAGGTCACGTTTCTTAGATTCGAGGAGTTCGAAGAACTAAGTGTGGATGGGTTCGGAGAAGTCATCGAGAGTAACGGACTTCCGATGTTCGGGGAGGACGTGGCTGACGGAAGAGTGGACTTGGCGTCAAAGGCTTCAAAGAACAAGAAAGGCGCAGATGGGACCGAAGCTATTCCATGGCCGACTTTCCATCAATCTTGTCATGATCGAGTTCGTTTTACTTTGACTAAGCTGATCGTTTACATTTTGGCGGAATCACCTTCTTCAGAGCCTGGCAGTCGAACATTCGTGGTTCATAGGTTACCTTCGCAAACTACAAGATGAACATTCTAAAAGGCGATAAGCAGAAGCGATGAAGGTGGCAGTAAGCGCTATCCAGAGGCCGTGTCACGGGAGACGGTCGAATGCCTTCTCCAGATGGAGGAAGGCTAGGAAGCAGGGTCTCTGCTTTTCACAATAGTTCTCCATAACTTGTCTGGCTATGGAGATGGCATCCAATGTAGGCCTTTCAAGCATGAAGCCGAACTGCTCCTGCAAAATTGGGACCAATTTTTTCAATTTTGAGTGCACCAACCGCTCGTACAGTTTCATTGTGTGAGCAGTCAACCCGATCCCCCAGTAGTTGGAACACTCCATCGCGTCCCCTTTCTGTTTGAGGGTGGGAACGAAAATACTGCCCCTCTACGCTTGTAAAATGCTTCCTTTAGCGGTCACAGTGTTCGGATAAGCCAATTTATCCCGTGCTCTCCGAGAGCCTTCCATGCCTCGATCGGTACTCCACCCGGACCAGTTGCCTTACCAACTTTTACCTTTCCTATTGCTCTGCGCACTTCATCCTTTTTCCACAGTTTATGGGGCAAGCCGTTGCCTGTAATTGGGAGCGATTTCACGGCGAATTCTTCGTTGAGGAGCCTGTCGAAGTATTCCTTCCACCTACGCCTGACCACGCCGGGCTTCCAATTGCGCCATCGCTGTTCCTGACGGACTTCACTACCGCGATGTCCTCAGTGGCGCGGTGACGCGCTTTCGCCAGGCGAAAGACGAACCTCCCCCCTTCTCGACTGTCAGGTTTCTCATACAAGGCGTCCATCCCCGTGTTCTTCGCTTTCGCCACAGCAGCCTTGTACAGCCTCTTGAAAGTTCTGTAAGCAGCTAGATCCTCTGGAGCTCGTGTCCTTTGCCAGCGTTTGCAGACCAATTTTTTCTGCCTCACAACTTGCTGGACTTCATCGTTCCAGACCATGCTTCTTGTCCCCTCGAAAGCCACCTCGAGTTTCCCCCAGCGTTTCCTTTGCACTCGATGCACAGGATGCCTCTGACAGCGTTGCTCCAGGTCTGCTGGATCGGTCCTTCGAGATCTGGAAGTCCAGCTTCCAGTATCTTCCCTTTAAGGTTTTCTCTCTCTAATCGGTGCAGCTTCCACCAGCGAATCCTACGTTCCGTTCTTGTCCTTGATTCCTTGGCAGGGTCGATGGCTGTGTCTGCTAGGAGAGGCCTGTCCTGTGTAGCCAGTTCTTCTCCAGGCAATACCTTGTTATCTTCTACAGTTCTGAGGCACGATCTCCTAACTGTTGCCTATGATCTGTGTCCGTTTCTTTCCCCCCACTGCTTAAAGGCACCGTTCACGATAAATTTGGGTAATCCAGATTATGATGAAAAATGGAAGACAAGATCGAAACTAGTGCGACTGAGATGAAGAAAATGCGTACATCGGTGTTTCCAAAGTGAAAAAAGGCTTTGAAAAACGGGGGCTGGACGATAAAGAAACAAGAAAAATGAAGAAGGTGGTACGTCCGGACGACCTAAACAGTGTGTTTAACTGCGCGAGTGTGGGTTCTGGTGCGAATAAGAGACAATGGTAAGCCAAAATTCATTCACTTATAAGCATAAATAAACAAAAAACCCTAGTAACAGCAAAAGTAGCTCACCTTTTTCAGCCTCTAGGAGTAGGAAATTAAATAATGGATCGCGGCAGCAAAAAGAAAAACAGAGGAAAGAAGAATGGGAGAAAAACATCGCCTCATCACTCGGCGATTAGCTGATTGTGCGTGGGTCCTAGAACGAATAATAGCAGTCGGTATTGTCTCGACACTCGCCTAACGTGACACCGATCGAGGGGCGGGAACGCGAACTACGGCAACAACGGGGCTGCCTCTATGCCCTGGACGTCGAGATTGGGGAAGTGAGAGGGTCCCTTCTACCACCCATGGGGGGCGCTCAGTATTCCTGAAAGAAGAACTCAGTAACCTTTTATCGTGAACGGTGCCTTTAAGGTTACCTTCTAAGACCTCCTTTTCGCGAAGAAGGTGCTGCAGAATGCCAAGTCATGGGCCATGGCCAGGTCGAAAACCCTCTCTTCTTCTTCGTTTCTGACTCCTTTTCCCCTACCTCCATGTATACTTTCCAGTCCCCTCCTTTCATTGCCGAAGTGCCCATTCAGGCCACCTCCTATAATGAGATAGCCCCCTTCTGGATCTGATCCGGTGGCTTCGTCAAGGTTCAGATAGAACTCTTCCTTTTCGTAGATGGGGCAGCCGGTTTGTGGTGCGTACACTGATATTATTGTTCGGTACCCCTACTTCGTGCTTATCCTTACAGCCATGATTCTACTTCTAATCCTGCTGACGGCGGAGACGGAGTCTTTGGGGGACTATGGTCACACCATTTCCTTTGGTGTCATCCCCATTTCCTTGTGGTAAAGTTTGACATCCTCTCCGATTTCCTTAACCTTTGCTCCTTTCCAGCTGGTCCCTTGAAGGCAGAGGACTTGGATATTTCTGCGCTTCATTAGATCGGCGACGTCTCGGAACTTTCCAGTGAGCGAACCCACGTTCAGAGTCCCATTTCGAACTATATTCTTAGACCGAGGACGTTCACTCTTCGGTAGCCCTCGCATACTGTCCACAGGACTCGGGCAGGGTCCTGAGTGCCACTACCGCGTGACGTCCTAGCTTTATCACTGATACTTTGTGGGACTTCAGACATGTTTGTTGTGTCTAGGATTCCCCATCGGTCAGCCTGTCAACCTCGGCCTGACGCTGGTACCGTTGCCATTTTTGAAATTTCCAGAGATCGAACTCGCCCTCTCTTTCAGTGCGGTCATGAGCCTACACTCTTATCCATTCGACTACCCTTGCCCAGCTCTAATAGACTTTTCTATTACTATTATACCACAACTTCTCCTTTTTACCACGAACCTCCTTCATTGAGAATTCTCCCCCACTGAGAAATGCCGGTTGATGGCGGGCCACGAGGTACGATGTCGGGTGGTAGCCCATTGGTATCACATGATGTCTCGTTCTTCACATTTATCAGTAACGTCTTCACTCGTCCCTGATGGAAGCCAGAGTAGCCCAGTGGATCGCTCGAGGGACTCGGGGATAGCATTTCCTTTGAGGCATTCGTGAAAAGTCTGACCATTGAACTGAAGGCTATCCTAGCGTTCGCTCGACATCAAGAGGGACCCAGTATGTGGTCGCCTTAATCTAACGGTCATCACAGGTCGCACCACGTGTCAGGCCCACTTGATCTTCGACTCACTGGCGAAAGCAACTGCGTTTTTCGTCTTCGTTCGTTGACAGATCTAGAAACTCCGAATTCTCTTCCGCACTTGCCCGTATAGACAAATTTCTAACATCGACCGTTCTAACGCTATTTGAAAACGCCAGCGCGGTAGCGAAGTAGACAAAGAAAATAATTCGAGTTATCAATCTAGACGAACGTAGCTAAAGCATCGAATGAAACTTTTTCATTCACTACGACTTCATAAGACTCGGTCATGAACCAATTTTTTCCAAGGTGCTGTCATACTCGCCAAGCATCCATTCGCTTGTTCGATTTTCTTTGTTATTGACATGGTGTCGGGAGCATAGCAAGGATCATCTTTGTAGTGGCCGTCGACTTCCACTTCCATATCTTCTCATTCCAAACGGCGCGTGATGTTCTCGAGAGCGGCAGTGAGAAGTTTGGGCGAAATGGGGACGCCTCGCTGGAACCTCTTTTCCTTGTATTAAAGAATGGCGGAATCCCGATGACGAAGTTATGATAGAGCTCTTTCTGCAGCATCCTTACATGTTGTGTGGGACTAGCCCAGATGCCCGAATTTCTAATTGAACCAAGACATAATACATCCAGTATTCACGCGATGCTTCAGTGAGCCTTGTTAAAGTGTGATTGATAGTACTGAACCCTCTCCAAAAACTTGCTCGCACGCACGAATGTCTTTGATCCAATTTTCTGCCAACCCTGTTGAGGACGATGCGAGTAAAATGTCTGTAGACTACTTCATCGACGTGATGTCCTGGCAAATTAAGCAAGAGAGAATTGAATAAACGACATACACATCCTACGTACGATAGTAAGAAGGAAGGTAGACGTGGCTGTAGAATAGATTCAAATGAAAGTCTTATATAATTTTCTCCACTGCTTCGAAATGCAGTAACTCATTCTTCTCACTGGTGAAGCTTTGCGAGTGACTCGTTGACTTCACTCTCGCAGGATTTTGTCTCGAGCTTGGTCGCACTCAAGTACACAGTTTGTAACAGGCGATCATCATTGAGTGTTAAAAGCAGCAAACAAAACCATTCGGAGTGGTCTCATCTTTATAGCTTACCGTCAACATAGATTCATCTAGATGCAGCACCACTAAGGTAATTGTTGGTAGATTTCCGAGTCTCTGCGCAAAAGGCTCGGAAAGCTCAAGAGCTTTCAGGCTTGTTGATTAGTATGAAAATGGCAAGATCACTTACGCTACTATGGGTTGATACATCGCTATCGGAGCTACCCCGATGGACACTCATTGAGAGTTCTCAATCACAAATGAACCGTACTTGAAAATATCACAACGATGTATGAACTTGCTCAAAATAAACTAGATAATACTCTTGCTGGCAGAAGAGGCTGTCATTGGAACGACTATGCTAGGCATATGCAATTGTTTGGCATAGTGGTTTACTTCAAATCATTCACTGGCCTGGCAAGGAGCGGAGTAACGAGCTATGATTCTTCCAATCTTGGAACCATTTGTTGCTCTCATAGCTGTTCATATTGCACTGGATTGAGTAATTGCCGACACGAAAAATTTTTTGAATGGTCAAGGGAGTTGAAATAGTTCTCACAATTCCATCATGATTCCGAAGGGGACCGATTCGGATCGGGCTTCTGTAAGCGACGTGACTAACGTGGCTTCCGTTAGCGACGTGACCTCAATTATCATTTGGGGTCTAATCCAATCAGGTCTTACTTATATCCAAAATCGGTTCATCTTGTGGAACGCAGTGCATTCAGGGGGTTATCTGCCCGATGTGTGTGAATAAATTTGGATTGGTTGTGCCAAGAAACAAGCTCCCCTAAAAGCAGTTGCGGTTCATTTTCAGAAATAGCTATATTTTTAATTTTTCTTCCAACCTGAAAAGCAGTAAACTTTGAAAACTTCCATGTCGTCATTGATCCTAGCATAATTCCTCTTCTCCCTACCATTGTATTGATTCCTTTGAAGTTCTCAAGTATAGCGAAAGAAAACATAAATGCCCATGAAGTGCAAAAGAAAGTTGTTTGTGATTGTAACTACTCGGCTGCAACCTTGCAGCACTTCCTTGTTCTCCTAGCATCGATGCATTGAGTATTTCCGGGACACTTATACACGAGACTTTCACTAAACTGATATTCAACAAATTTGCTGAACTTTGAAGCGAAAAAGATGATTTTTCCATGCGATTCTGCCCTTTTTAGGAAAATCTCAGTGCTTGGCCGCTTCTGCTATGTTCAAGCCGACCGAGGACTATGTGAATGATTGGCTGAGCTTTTCCCATCGAGCTTAATTCTTTCAGTGGATTGACCACTTGCGATTCATTTAATAAAGAAAATGGTCCATCCACAAGATTAGTGAGTGGAACTTCTATATTCAGTGGAGTCATGAAGAAGCTTAGTCCGAGAAGCGCAGTCCACACCATGTAAAGCAGCTCCAATATTCGGAATGTGCACTGCATTTCTTCAGCTTCGGCCCAGCCGTTAGAACTGCGCATCCTTCACTGATATTTGACACAGTAAAATACAAGGGTTTTCTTTACAATATAAAGTAAGATCTAGAGGCTCCACATGAAGAGCCTAATTCAGTGAAAGATAATAGAAACCCAAATGAATGTTCTCGAGAAAATAGGCTTTGTGAAGTTCCTCGGTCATTTTCCTGGAAACAAGCAAAACACTGAACAGCTTGCTGATTCCTTTGAGATTCTTTTCTTTTTTGACTTCGCTCTTAACTATGCCTGATTATTAGTTTGGCTTAGCAACTACAATTCCTCTTTTGTTTATACTCGAGGTCATCGGGGATTACACTTGACAGTTGCTGACGAAATTATTATATTAGACGATTCTGATGAGAGGGTATTATTTCAGAGTCATCTATTCTATTCTGATCATTTGCTGAAAAATATCCAATAATAATCTGCCACCCACAGCATGAGAGCTTAAAGGCTAGAAGCAGAAAATGTTTGGCACTGAAATGAAATTTGCCTCTGCTTCCACGCGCACATTACACAGTCAGAACTCCTTACGATCCTCGTAACTTTCCATGCCGCTCAAGAATTCACGTCATCGCCCACGGAGCCTCTAGTTCGACCAACATCTTAGCCATTCTTCCAATTGATCCAATTCCAAGATTTTCCAAGATTTTCCTTACTCCATAGTTCATTTGCCAAGTCCCATTTTTTTGTGTCCATTAGAGAACTAACACATTGGCTGGCGACAAGATCAAGAAGAATAATAAAAATTTGATAACTCGAATTCTTCAAGTGTCTCCATTGCTATCGGTGTGAGATGGAACGTTTAAAAAACTCCAGTTCCCAGGTCTACGATTCCATCAATGATGTCCAATTCCGTTTTTTAACGGACTACAAAAGCAAGACCAATCAGATGTTCAGAACCAGGTATCACCTGTAACACTTGTCGTCCCGTTGATCATCGACTTCTCCGAGCGGACGCCACAACGTCTCCATTCGTCCTTGTCACGAGCCAGAGTGGTGAAGTGAATCGCCCTCGCTTGAGAGACACGAGGTCCAACATTCCTTTTGTTCAGAGCTTTCATAAAGAAGTCTGACCATTTCGTTGGCGACCATCCTAGAGTTCGTTTGATGTTTCGAGGGATCCAGTCGGTGGGTGTGCGACGTTAGTCTCGACTGACATTACTTCGCGCCGAGGTACGAAGTGACCATATTGTTGACTAACCTCACCTTAGTTAAGCCCCCCCCCCTCCCTTTATCATAACTGACCTTATCTTACTTATGAGAGTGATGGTGAATGATGAGAAGATGAAATTTCAAGGAGATGAGTTTTTCAACATAAAATTTTTCAAGGAGATGAGTTTTTCAACATAAAATCTTCATGGTGTTTGATTTGAAGAGTTTTATCATAATACCATGCAAGATGATAAAACTTCAACTAAAATTTCCAATAAAATATAAAGAGGTCTAATTTTTCTAATAAGAAGCATCTTAAAAATAATAATTAAACAAAGAAACAATTCAGATTGTCTTGTTCGTTACGAATTTGGATATCTTTTGTGGTAATAGGGAGGGAACTGAAGAAGGTTGGGTAGATTGGAGCGAAGGCTGCGGTACGGGTTGGAGCGGTTGGGTAGGTGCACGAGTAGCATAGCACAAAGGTTGCGCTATGGGCTGGAGCGGTTGTGTAGGTGCGGAAGGAGCATAGTACAAGGGTAGCGGTGCGGGTTGGAACACCGTTAGCGGAGGTTGTATAGGTACGGAAGTAGCATAGTAATAGGGTTGGGGTGCGGATTGAAGCAGCCTTGAAGCTGAAGGGTACCCCGTGAAATCTCGAGAGTAGTAGAAAGTGTCGTCAGAATACATGGTAAGGTTCTGAGTAAGGCTTCTTTTCTATGGTCAGTATTGCATATAAATTGTTCACCCACCAGCTTAAACAAACGTAGCTGATGACCTCTCTTTAGTGTGCCGAATTAAGCCTGAAGTATTGTAATATTTCGTCAGAAGTGTGAAATGGCCTAACTGATCAGTCGGCTGGCGTTCAATGACTTTCAAACACGAGAACTTTCAACAATATCAAACAACTACGTCGCTTCTGTAAGTGTTGTTTGATATCGCAGATGAGTGGAAACTCAAAAAAAAATAGAATGTTTTTTACATCTTACACGAACTTCATTTTTATGGCCATCGAATTTTTCTATCCTGTAGAAATTTTTTGATTTTCTATTCTATATGGTAATAAAATTCTTTAAGCCAAAAACCATGAAAATTTTACGTTGAAATACTTATTTTCTTGGAATTCCACTTTCTTATCCATCTCGCGACCCGCCATCACTCTCATAAGTTAGATGAGGCCAGTTACGATCAAGGGGAGACGCGTAATTAAGATGAGGTTAGTCATTAATGAGGTCACTTCGCACCTCTTCGCGAAGTAATGTCAGTCGAGACTAACGTCCCACACCCCCAGTCGGTAACTGCCCTGATCCAACGGTCATTATTATATCGCATAACGTGTTCGGCCCACCTGATCTTCGATTTCTTGGCGTAATCAACGGCATCCCTGATCTTCGTCCAATGACGGAGCTCGGAACCCCTGCTACCCTTCTGCACTTGAGTGTATAGGGAAGTTCCGAGCATCGTCGCACCAAAGCGCGTTGACTAACGCTGTCAGCATGCTCATCCTGCTTTCGTAGTGTCTCCGAACGTCAAAGCAGGAAGGACAGCAGTGTCGAGAAGGTGAGCGCGGAGCCGGATGTTCTTTGTCTTCTTCACTGCTCCTTCGATGTTATTAAATGCTCCCCACGCGCGTTTCCTTCTGCACAGCTTCGGAGCTCATGTTGACTTTCCGACCCAGATACAGCTAGGGCATTCGGAGATATTCGTTCCTTTAGGCGTGAAGGGCGCATCAGTTACTATGTAATCCGCATCAGTTTTTTATGAACATCGTCTTCGGAAAGTTTAGTCCTGAGCCGATCTTTCCACAAACGCTGTCAAAATCGGCCAGCATTCGTTCCGCCTGCTCGATGTTCATTGTTATGAGCACGATGTCGCCTGCGAAGTGGATGTGAGGCAGATAGCGGCCTTCGATCTCCCTCCCAAGTCTTTCCATTCCAAATGATATTCTCAAGAACGGAGCTGAAAGTTTGGGCGACCGCCCTGCCGGACACTTTTCTTCACGTTGATAATGACTTCCTTATAGAATGGTGAAATCCTGGTCGTGAAATTGTCTTAGAGCTCACGAAGAATCCTTACATGTATATTGAGTAGAAACACCCTGGTTGCTCAGAGCTTTAATTACCCTTTCTACCTCAGCGGTTCCAAAGGCTTTCTTCAAATCGGTGAACGTAAGATATGACGGCATTTCGTAATCTCGTGATACTTCATTGAGCCTTGTAAAGTGTGGATATGATCGATTGTACTGAGCCCTCTACGAAACCCTGCTTGCTCGCATGGCTGTCCTTCATCCAATATTCTACCAATCCTGTTTAGGATTACGCGAGTGAAAAGCTTGTAGATTACAGGCGGCAATCAGATTGGGCGATAATTGCCAATATCGTCTGGCTCTCCCTTCTGATACAGCAACACAGTCTTGCTAGTTTTACACGGCACTTTGCATCCTGATAGGTACCGCGTGAAGAGCCTGGCCAGAGTGCTGACGGTAACTGGTGGAAGACTTTAGATGTTCTGGTTCGCTCCTATCGGAATCGAGCACCGTAAAATTCTTCATCGACGTGACGGATGTCGTATTTCAGAAGGGAGAACCGAAGGAGCGATATATTCTTCTTGCCTATGACGGTGAGTAGGCAGGTAGACGCGGCTGTCGAAGGGATCCGAGTAGAAGTCGTAGATGACCTTCTCCATTGCCTTTCTAGATGCAGTAACAGTTCCGTCAGGACGACAAAGGGAAGCCGTTGGTCTTGTAATTGGCGAAACTCCGTCCGAGTTTGCGAACGTTCTTCGGCCTCAGCGGTTCCGTCCATAACTTCTGCTCTTCTCTCTTTCAGTTCTTACTTTATCTTTTCTCTGCATGGCCTCGCAAGTTTGTTTGTTGGTGATTGCCTGTAGCTCGTGTGATTCCACGCTGGCTATCAGTTCGAGAGTCTCCGTAGAGAGTTGTCTTTCGGATACTTGTAGATTCTTTGCTTTCCTAGCAGTACCGTGAAGCAGTTCGACGAGTCGGTTGTATTCTTCATCGATGTTGCCGATAACGGAATATTCCATTTACTCGCAAAGGAAGCAAAGTGGTTCCAGTTGATGGAGATCTTGGAGCTTCGTTTCCTGGAATTTATAGCTTCATAGTTTATAGCAAAAAAACGGGAACTACCGCGGAGAGGACGATGGTGCGATCCCGTATTCGTAACCTGGAACATCAGCGACGTCAGTCAGGCAAAATCTCCGATTGTAGATGATGTGGTCTGTTCCATTATGGAACTGTCCACCAGGTCACTCATTTCCATCGCAAATGAGAGGACTTCTGGAATTGCGAGTTACCATGGATGGTGTGGGCCGACATGATAAACTCGGACAGTCTTTCGCCCTGCTCATTCCATCCCATTCCTTGAGCCCCGACGTCGAGCTCTTCAGCCGTTTTTCTGGGGCAAGTTTGGCGTTGAAATCACTGACGATGGCCTTGAAGAATGTATGGCCTTCTCTGTAAAGCCTCTCCAGATCCATATAGAACGCTTCCAACTCCTCTTCTTCAGGGCTTGATGTGGGTGCGTAGGCAACGAAGGTGGTTCGAGCTGGGATTGAGCCACATCTCTTCGATCGCAAACGTCCTATTCGGGTTGTCAAGCTTTCGTACAAATCGATGTTCATGACCAAGTGCATATATACGAGGACACTTACGCCGCCGACACCTCTGGTGTCGCATGTTCCCAGAAACAGTTCTTCTCCAATCTCAAATACAGCGTGCAGCGGGTGATGCTTTTTCGTCTCTGTCAGTCCGATGACATCGTACTTGATCTTCCTAGCTTCCATCATCAGGTCTTCTATACATGCTTCAGATGCAAGCGTCCGTGAGTCGAAAGCGCAGATCGCCAACTTACCAAGGAGGGGTAGTCTACTTACCGTGGGACTTTGAATGGAGACCCAGATAAATCGATAGAGTTTTGAATGCTATTTACGAAAATGGAAA